GTAAAGAGTGACAAATTAAATTTATGTTGCAGAGGTGAACGGCAGAGTAGGGAAGGGACGCCCCAGGCGAAAGTTTATCGACCAAATTGGCGAAATATTGAAAATAGGCCAAATTAAGAGTACCTTTAACGGAAGAGCGTGTATGCGTAGGTATATGGATGTCGAGGAAATAAGAGAGGTGTGTCAGGATCTTGCCAAATGGAAGTCCATAGTCTCTGCCTATCCCCCTGGGTGACAGGCGTGAGTGTTTATGTATTAATATGTTAACAGCTCTGTCGAGGACTATATAATGAATCTGATATTTGAAACCCCGTCTGTACCAGCTGATGAAGAAAACATTTAAAGTATCTTTCATCTTGAAGATATTAACACCAAGTTTGGAATTTACACACACTTGACTATACCATCGTAAGTTTTCTTAAAAAATACCTATTATTTTGTATTTCTATTATATTGTTTGGTGCGTTGCTATCCCTTGGGATTCGCGTTACTGAAAATATATCATCGTGATTCTTGTCACCTTAGCACCGTAAGTAATTATACGGATCCTGGTTTAAAATGCGACGGAACTATGCTGCGGCAATTTGTGATAGAATAGAATAGTGAGAAATAGTACTTAGGATTGTCTCGCGCAGTAAAATACGCGACCGTTCTTTACTCGCTTTATTTCAGGAGTGGCGGTATTTTACTTTTACCACTGGTTCGGTAAAAAACTTCAGTCCTGAGAAGAACTAGCAAGAAACCCAGTGGCACTTAAAAAGTAAAGATATTCAGTTAAACGTAGGTTGTACAAACTATTTACAAAACTTATTTAGCTATATAAATAACTTACATAGCTTGGAAGCGACCACCTTATTCCCAGGGGTTATATTCAACCTTTGTCCCGTGGTCTCCCTATTAAAAAGTTGAAATAAAATATATCAATTTTTTAATAAACGAGGTTCTCGGACTGGGTTGTAGTATCGTTTACATTGCCAAATGAATAAATTACTAACTCTGTAGAATCCAAAAACTGGTATCACTAGCTTTTCAGTTTGTTGATTGTTCAATTATATCCCATTGCATTAAATTTAGTATCAAATATTTGATGGATCCAAATATACTAAAAACTTAGAAATCTACTAAATCTGGTCACGTTGCTTTGAATGACCGAACGTAGGAATGTGATCAAAATTACCACGCGAATAAGCGCGCAGGCATGCAAGCGAGAGCGAGATAACAAGAGAAGTTATCTCTTACCTTTTTTTCTACCTGAGTAGGTTTGCAACTCAGGCTTCCAGTTTCAATAATGTTATTGTCATTAGAGCTCATTTCTGGTAACATTTACTGAGATGTATGGAAAATTCGTGATTTCTTAACACTTGTAGCATTAAAAAGTGCACAGTTTTTTTTTGTAAAATTGTATCACTTTAAGTACCTAATCTATAAATATGTACTAAATTTGCCTTTTATTGAGTGAAAGAGGTTTTTTACATGCTATTAAGAGCAGAGTAAAATCTTAAAGACAGAACAACTGCAAGGGACGCCAAGGCCTTTCAGAAAAAAATATAAAAAATAGTTATTTCACAGCACAATTTTCAGATAAATATAATATAATTTTTTTTGGAAAATTCAAGTAAATTATTGTTGCGCGCCACTATTAATGTCTTGTACATAGCAACACTAGTTACACTAGCGCCCTCTAGTGTCGAGTAAAAGAAATTGTTGCGCGCAACTATTAATGTCTTGTACATGGCAACACTAGTTACACTAGCGCCCTCTAGTATCGAGTAGCAGAACTAGGAGTGTCGAGATCCTTCCAGAACTTTCGGGACCGATATGTACTCGAACATTCTAAATGTCGCTACAGTAGAAGGTTCTGGAAACTATCTGAGGTATAGAGCACGACCGGGGAAGTATTGAATTGGCGATACAAGAGAATACTTCGAAGCGAAATAACGGCGAACTGTGTTTTATTATTAGTGTGATTTTAAGTTGTAATTAGTGTTGTGTAATTAGATAGTCAATTTTGGTAATTCACTCGGCAGTTTTTAATTGCCTCGAACCCCAAGCTCGTAACATTATTATTAAATAATTTTCGTGGTCATCTACAACTCTGTGTAAAAAGTATCGGGAATATGTCAATAAAAAGACCCGCGTAAAAGAGGTCGTTCTAATTTTTTACTGCATGTTGGTAGCACTGTACTGATTTAGCGCGCAAAGTTTGAGCGGGATCTGTCATTTAATTTGTTTTAAACTACACTTTTTGTTGGTCATAGTTTTGAGTTCTTGGCGATTTTTACAATGGAAAATATTGTTGAACAAAGAGTGTGCCTTAAATTTTGTGTTTCGAATGATATTTCATGTGGTGAATCACTAAAAATGTTGCGAAATACCTACGGCGAATCATGTATATCGAAAACAAGGGCTTATGAATGGTATAAGGCTTTTAAAGAAGGCCGAGAAGTAGTAGTAGACTTGCCTCGTTCTGGTAGACCTTCAACCGCTACGACCAAAGAAAACATCGACAAAATCAAGAAGCTAGTGCTCGAAAATCGACGTATGAGTCTGAGAGAGTTGGCTAGTGAGGTGAACATATCTTTTAAGTCCGTCCACAACATTCTCATTGACATTTTAGGCATGAAACGCGTCGCCGCTCGACTAGTTCCAAAAGAGCTCAATTTTGTTCAAAGAGCGCAGCGAAAGCATGTCGCTGAAGACATGGTTTCCCGAGCTTCTACGGATCCGACCTTTATGAAACGTATAATAACTGGCGACGAGACATGGGTTTATGAGTACGACATGCAAACAAGCCAACAGTCTTCAGAATGGCGTCTCGAAAACGAGCCGAAACCCAAAAAACCGCGGCAAAGTCGCTCCAAAATCAAGGTGATGCTGACAGTTTTTTTTGACTACCGTGGTGTGGTTCACTCCGAATTCCTTCCAAAGGGAGAAACAGTGAATAAAGAATATTATTTAGGCGTCATGAAGCGTTTGCGTGAGAGTATCCGCCGAAAACGTCCAGATTTGTGGCAACACAACTCATGGATGCTGCACCATGATAATGCACCATCACACACGGCCATTATAGTGAAAGAGTTTTTAGCGAAAAATTCAACAAAAGTTCTCGACCAAGCACCGTATTCACCTGATATGGCTCCGTCTGACTTTTTTTTATTTCCCAAGTTAAAATTACCACTTCGAGGAAAACGTTTTGAGTCGACAGAAGCCATAAAAAAAAATTCACTGAATGAGCTAAAGGCCATACCGCAAATAGCCTATGAAAAATGTATGGAAGACTGGGTGAAGCGTTGGAGATGTTGTATTGCAAGCGATGGGGCCTACTTTGAAGGCGATAAAATAAATTTAGATGAATAATTTGTATTTTTTGTTTTATTGACAAATTCCCGATATTTAGTACACAGAATGTATACACACAAAATGCTTTGTCCTAAATGCCTGACTGACGGATCAACGCACAGCCTAAACCTCTGATCGTAGAAACCTGAAACCTGGAGGGTGTGTTCTTTGTATGATGTAGGCACCCGATAAGAAAGTATTTTCAGAAATTCTAGCCATAAGGGTGTTAAAAACGGGCGCAAAGTTTGTATGGGACAACGGTTCCGATACGATTCCTTGGTCCAATCTACTTCAAATATGGCATAAACATTCCCCGTGTAGTAGCGAGTAAGAATACTCACTACCCCATATCTTCCCGTGGGTATCGTAAGAGGCGACAGAGGGAAACTGAGACAGAGGATGGGCAGCAGTATCTTTCTGATATTGAATAGCAAAACAACAATAAATATTTGTAAATAATACTGAACCATTGTACTAAAATTTATTAGTCTATGACATAATAACATTTAAGTAGACAGAGGGAGAGTTTAGGCGGGAACTTGACCATCGGTGAATTGTTGCTTCTGTTTTATCGTTTATTTAATAGTTGAAATTGGGTTTTGATACATTAAAGTGATGGGATTTTGTGTATTAAGTGTCTGCGTACGTGAACTACTACTGGAAACGACGAAAAAATTGCTCCGATTTTGATATAAGCCTCAAGAGAAGATTTTTAAATCCCGAATGAAATGAAGGCATGGCTTAATAAACAAGCATCTAAGTCAAACACCTTAAAATAAAAAGAAGACACAGGTTGTCTATGGTTAAGCAGTGTTTTTGATGGCAACACTAGATTCACATTGATGTTGCTATATAATACAATTACCTGAAATGTGAGTTACCGTATTCGGATACATAACCTAAAAAATAAAAATGACCAAAAACTGTTGAGCTATTATATATAATTCTTCTATTCATCCATCCATTGCAGCCTATGAAAATAATAGGCTTTTTCCATAGATTGACTCATAGGGGAGATTTCGCCATAGTTAACACGCTTGGCGAGCGGGTTGTCAACCGCAGGTTTATTTTATTTTACGTTCTTTTTAGCTGTCACCCATCACCTGTTTCAATTTTCCTCGTCGCCTTTTACGACACCCACGGTACGATATGTGGTAGTTTTTATTCTTACACCATCACTACACGGCTAATAATAATTTGCCTCACTGTATTTTGAGATATATTTTCTTTATAATCTATATTGAGATTTAATTTTATAATTTAATATAAAGAAATTTATCTCAATTACATTTATAACCATAACCACCTTTGCTTTGTTTTGATTTTGGACAGTACAACGTTTGTCCTATTCTTTTGTAGGAATTATGTTTCACTTTAAAGAACACTGCTACAGGAGAAATTTAGTCATGTAATTTAGTTTCCAAGTATTTATTTCCCGTTTTTATGGAAAATCTAGCCATCATTATGGTAACACTGATGATGTGTAATCTCTTGTTTGTACTTTTGTATGTGTGAGTGAGATGTCTCCTCTCCGCCATTGAATTTCATTTTAGCCGAGAATTGAAATAGGTTGTACCTTTCATAATCGGCAAAAATCTTAATAATCTCTTATTCTTCACTCATTCTCTTTAGTCATATTCCGTACAAAAACATCATATCCGATGGCAGACAGAGACTCAGATGAGTTAAACATTGATAACGTAATAAAAAAATTATTAAAAGGTAAACTAAAATTTTGTATTCACGAAATAAAAATATCGGTGTTTTCTACTATTGCAAGTGATTTTTTTACTTTATGTGTTTAGAAATGTGAACGTTCTAGTGAATTCGTGTTATGCCAGTCAGTGCAGTTTTGTTTATATTTAGTTGTTTTCAGTTCGGGGCGAGAAGCCTGGTATGAATGTACAGTTAACGGAAATTGAGATAAAAGGGCTATGCTTGAAATCGCGGGAAATATTCTTGTCACAGCCTATTTTACTTGAATTAGAAGCTCCGCTAAAAATATGCGGTAAGTACATTTAAACAATGATATTGAACTTTGAAATATTGTTGGTTATAACTTTTAATATTATAATATTATGTATAGTAGCGTTCAAAACTTTCGAGTGACTCGCAATTTACTTTAGAAATTTCAGTAATACGAGAGTGAAAAATGAATTTTGTATAAAATTTTTACTATCCAACCCTGTAAATAACAGTTGAGACTTCTAAAATTACACTTAATTTTATACATGCAAGGTATGCTTGTATCACACTACCAAAAAAAAAACTACTTTGCGTCCTTATTTTTCCTTATGTTTTTAATAAGAGCAAATATACTTATCACTTAACATATTAGAAATTTGCTTATTGCAATACCCACTTTCTCTATCATAACATATTGTCATTGTTGCTATCAACTAATTTGATTTGTTTTATTTTTATGATAAAGAATAATCGTTTGTTATTGTTTTGATAGTTCTATCAATAAATAAATGATTGTTAAATTGAACAATGTAAGTTATTTGATCATTTTGTTTACACTGTTATTTAGTGTGGGTAGGTAAAAAACAATATGTGTATATAGAAACAGAAATGGAAATATTCGAATTCAATATAAATTATAAGTAATACTTATTGAAAGTCACTCTTTTGTTTACCACCCACTAGGTCAGAAAAAACTTCTGACCTGGGAAGAATAAACAAGAAATCCAGCGGGATTTCTTTTTGAGAACAAAATATATTTAGTGACATCAATTCAAATCATAAATTATTTAACTAGTTACTAGTTACTGTTACTTTGTGCAATTCCAACTATTTTAAGGGACCATTGAATCATTAATATAACCTAACCTAACTATGTTAATCAATTTTAAGACAATAATTTAATAATGTACCAAATCTGAAATTAACAAGTGTAAAAATGTGAAAGAATGGAAAAACCACTTTGCAGTATCAGATAACAGCAATGGGATATTCCTTCCTTTGTGTTACAAAGAAAAACATTTCATTAAAAACTTTTCCCATTATGTTTAAGTGTTAAATTCACATATTAACTTTATAACATCAAAAAAAAAAAATGTTATAAAGTTTAGTCAATTTAATTATTTCAACAGTTTTTATCCTATCATTTATTTATTGCCTTCTAATATGTGTCACTTGCCATCAGGTGAGCCGTAGTCACTTTATCATCAGGTGCGCTGCATATTTGTTTGTTCCCTCTTATAATAAAAAAATATTAGGCATTATGGATAACAGAAATATTACAGTTTTGTTATTATTCTGCTGTAAGTTCTACTTATCACTCATTTTTTCAGTTTCCTTCTGTCTAGGGTTGCCATCTGTCCGGCTTTAGCCAGACATGTTTGGCTTTTTCGGGTTGTGTCTGGCCAAATTATTATGTGTCCGGCTTTTGTTAGGCTTTTTGTTAGTGTAACACGTTGCACTCATCGCTTGGTTGTTGTTGAGTTGGAGTTGGTGAGTTTTTTGGCTGCATGGCCTCAGAAAGGTATGTTTGGCTTTGTAAAAATTAAAGTCTTGCTTTTTGGAGCGCCAAGTCCGGCTTTTTCATTTTAGGAGATGGCAACCCTACCTCTGTCACCTCTTACAACACCCATCACGGATAGTGGATATTCTTATATGGTTGTAAAACAAGTGCATAGATGGTAATTCTGGTTTATTCCTGGCATTACATAAATAACTTCACTTTCAGGTGACATCCATGGTCAGTACTATGACCTGTTAAGGTTGTTTGAGTATGGTGGCTTCCCTCCAGAGTCCAACTACCTGTTCCTTGGAGACTATGTAGACCGTGGGAAGCAATCACTAGAAACCATATGCTTGCTTCTCGCCTACAAGATTAAATACCCAGAGAACTTTTTCCTGTTACGAGGCAATCATGAGTGTGCTAGCATCAACAGGATTTATGGGTAAGTTCTTTTGTAATTATGTGTGAAAATTATTTTTACAGTGATAAGTAATAATATTATGGTGAAATATTATTTATGTAAACTGTATAATGGCAGTATAAGAAAATCCATTACCCCCTATTGTTCCATGGGTGTTGTAAGAGACGACAGGGAAACTAAAACAAAAGATCACAAGACAGCATCTTCCTGATAACAAGTCAAAATATTAAAAAACTGTGGTTGCCAACCTGCCTCTCCAGTGTGGCAACTATGGAAAAATCCTCCCTGTGAGGCAATCTATGGGAGTAGCTCATGTTCCGCAGTAGACTTTTATAAGCTGTTATGGATGGTAAGTATTGTGATGTTTTAGAAATAACATAATTGCATTTATTATTTTTATATTATGACTCCTGATTATATGAAGGTGATTTACCTTCAACTATAATTGGTGAATTTACTATTTTAACTCTATCTTTAATGCATTTCCATAAACGAAGGCACTAAAACCAAGATAACAAATACACTAAATTTAATAGTTTTCTTCCTCGCACAACTTCCTTGTGGAATTGATTACCACCAGCGATTTTTCCGGTCCAATATGACTTAAGGACCTTCAAGAAAAGAGCCTACTCCTTTAAAAGGCCGGCAATGCATCTGCAATTCCCCTGGTGTTGCAGTTGTTCATGGGCGGCGGTAGTCATTTACCACCAGATGAGCCACATGCTCCTTTGCCTTGCTCTTATAAAAAAATAAAGAAATAAATATTTTCGTCATAAACTATGTGGTAGAAATCCTTTTCTGCAGTGGAGTCTGTCTGGGTAGGTGTCACACATTTACCTGGGTTCCAGTCTGAACGGTGTAGAAATCCAGTATAATTTCATGATGTGAGGCATTCTAACTTAGTCCTAAAGTTTGACAACACATCTGTGCCCTTCTTTGGAAAAAGTTGTCTGCCGGTATCCTTAGACTGCAGTAGCCACTTACCATCAGATGCACTGTCAGTTTGTTGACCGTCTTATAAAAAAAAACATTCATTTAAAAATTAGCTGTTATTTTTATATACTTTGGAACACTAAGTTTTGGTAGATTGCCTCACTTGTTTTTTTTTTAATTTTATATATTAAGGAACAGCAAACAGCTGCAAAATACAGTAATATCTAAAATACAATAACATGATGTATTCACAATGATGTATCCACATATTACTTACAATGTTAAATTAAGGCGCAGGTTGAGCAAAATGTCGCGCTAGTCGTTATTTCTGCAGTTTTTAGGAGCTATTCTACTTTTTATTTAAAAGATATATCAACAAATAAAAAACACATTATATTTCTACATAATCTTGATTCCATAAAAACCTATATCCAATTTTTTAATAATTTGATGATTTTAAATAAGAATAAAATTCTGCTCAAGTTTTTTTATTGTTACCTTTGTTAACAACATCGCCTTTAGAACTGGAACCGTAAGTGTTTCTTTCAGACTTCCACAATTTATTCAAAATAAAAAAATACTCTTTCTACTGGAGCATTTGTACCAGGGAGACATAAAATATATTCGATTAAAAAAATTATGTTGAAGATTGTGGACTTTGAATACTTCCATACAACAAGTTACGGGACAATTTTGTGTCCCGGAGCTTTGTTTGGGGACAATGGGACAGGTGACCAAGAAAAGGGATAGTCCCGTTCAAAACGGGACGTATGGTCACTTTAGCTATACTCGGCGACGGCTCCGTGGCGCAGTGGCTTAGCAATCAGTTGTTGCGCTGGGAGCCGCGGGTTCGAATCCCGCACGGAACAAGTATTTGTATGGCCTACAAATAATTGTTCCGGGTCTGCGTGTTTGTCCTTGTGCAATTTATGTTTGTAAACGGCCTCCACGACACAGGAGAAAATCCTAGTGTGGGGGTAACGTTTTTTTACAATTGAAATTGAAAGATTGAACCCTCATACTTCTTGTTGATTTTTGTATTACCTTTATTAAAGTTACGTATGTAGAAATAAAATTGATTTTCATCCTCATCAATCATTGGGGTGAGGATAATGGCTGCCAGCATAATTAATAAGCAGGCTAAGTTACAAGGTGCTCAGTTCAAAAATTAGTAGGTAGGTATATTACTTTTCAATACGTGACACGTAAAAATTAACAATAATCAAAAACACATCTGCGAAACATCCTATTTATTTATTTATTTTTTATTGCACCAAATATTTGTACAAAAGCCGAGCTATCTATTTATTTACCTATAGTGAATAGGTATCTTTTAAACTCACAATTTTCAATGCTTCATTTTTAATATATAATTAATTATAAAATTTCATAATTAGATAATATATGAAAATACATAATTCTAATATAATGCAACTAATATATACCGAATAAAAAAATTAAAATACATTTATCTTTGTACGCTGTGTGTATTTCCATAAAATAGTTTATTGATGTTGAAAAAATAATACTACGTTCGTACAATAGGTGGCGTCTTACATATTTCTTACGCAATAATATATTGTAGCGAGCGGCGCGCCGGTCAAATGCTCAAGGTCGTTCGCATGGAGTAGCCCCTTAAATTGTCGTGGACGCTGAATAAAAACTTAATAACTAAAAACTAAAAATAAATAATATTATTTATACATTTTTAGTTTTTCAAATATAGATCTTTTAAAATCAAGAAAATTAGGTGTAAAATTAAACATTAGGTGTTGCACCTCAACAACTTGTAAAACCTTTAAACAGAGTATAAGCGTTTCCTTTTTACTTGACCTTGACTTTACTAGGCGGTAAGACACCTTTTCTTCCTAGGTGTCTGTCTATGAACAGCATTAGCCACGACCTCAAGTGGAATGTATGTTTGTCAGTTTTGTAAAAAAATCTTGACGTTGGTTTGAAACATTGTGAATATGATGAATTTGTTAAAACTTTGTTTTATGGGGCATAAATACTAAGGTATAAAAAACTTAACTACAATTGGCTCACCATAAAGTTGTAGAAGCAATTTTCATAGCAATTTAAACAAATATGGTGTGTTTACAGATTTTTTATCAAAGTCACTTGATTTCTTTTTACAGTTATGTTATATTTGTTTGCGTGATCAAATTCATTAAACGTCCTATTATAATAGTTGGATTTACTAATGTCATTGTAGATTTGTCTTTTCAAGTCAATACATACTTACATATTGTGCTCAAATCTATTCTTGATATGTTCTGATTTTGTAAATTAAACTGACATGAACCTTGAAATAGAATTTAAAAAAAATATCGTGAAATAACTTGACTTAAAATCCAGAGCTTAAACTGCCGAAGCAAGGCAGACATGGCAAACATTTTCTCCAAGTGAGCGATATTACTTGACGGGGAAAGGAATTGGTCTAGATGCAACAATAAATCAACATTATCTATGTTCTACATGGTAGCGATGTTGAACAGTTTCGGGTTCCACAGTTTTTCATGTTTAAAATGTGGGGATGATAGGTTGTCCTGTCACGATTCTCTGAATAATGTGATCAGAACTCTAGTGTCTGAGCTCCATAAATGTTCCCTCGGTTTAAAGCCTTGTAAAATATTAAGACAATGTCAGGAGATAACAAAGTACGAGAGGGGCAAAGTCCTGGTGTTTACGCTCGCAGCATTACACTGCTACAATAATATTCCACAACTATCAAACAACGCCATCTAGTCCCAAGCTAAGCAGAGCTTGTGTTATGGGTACTAGACAACTGATAAACATACTTATATATTTCTAAATACATAAATATTATAGATAAATTACACCCAGACACAGAACAAATGATCGTGCTCATCACACAAACATTTGTCCTGGGTGGGAATCGAACCCACGACCTCCGGCGTAGCAGTCAGGGTCACTAACCACTAGACCAACAGGCCAGTCAACGGAGCGATAGTTGCTACAGCCGTAGAAACTATCGCTCCGTAGAGTTCTCGCGCCGTTAAGTTTCTGATGGAACTATCCGCGATTGATAGTCTTTGCTGGATATAAGTGGGCTGGTTCTTTCTCGGAGTAGGATTGTTTGATAATTTTCGCATTTCTTTCATTGTAATAAATGTTTTATTATCTTTATAGTGAATCTTTAAAAGGAAATATCAATATATTATGTAGTTACATCTTGATACTTCCATTATGTTAATTTGTATTAATAATTATTGTACAAAACAAAAACGACATTATTAGTCATGACTCATGAGTCAGATTGCCTCCATCCCTGTCACTGATATAAATCTTGTTTATTCGATATTTGTGACTCACATCTTATCATTCATCACAACGTTTTTGTGTATATAAACAATAAACGCGGTCTTAAAATCACACCCTGCGGTAACCCTACAATGTAAAAAATAAAAATAGCTTTGAGTCATTGCTCTGAATCATTGCAGCGAAGGTCGATTTAATTCAAGTTCATAAGGTTGCGTGTTCAGCTTTGCAGTTTTATGATAATTAGTGTTTTTAGATTTCCTACTATGGTGTAGTATAGAGGAAACTTCATACGATTCATTTAATTTGCAGTAACAAACCGTGTCAAAAAAAAATCAATATTACAGTCCACCTCTGAACATAGGCCTACCCTCATTAATTACCTCATTGAGGGTTGGTAATTGCATTTTTTTCAGTTGTTATTAGGATGAGCCGTGGTAGCCAAGGGGTTAAGCGCTCACTGTAAATTTCACATTACGCGAGGTACCCGTTTCGATCCCCGCCGGTACCAATGAAATTCTTAATTGCAATTTTAAGTGCTGATTTAACACGTGCTTGGCGGTGAAGGAAACCATCGTGATGAAACCTGCATGTCTGAGAAATAAGAAAAAAATATATTTCGGAAAGATGTGAAGTATGCCAACACGTACTCAGAAATGAGAGAAGGCCTGTGCCCAGCAGTGGGACGTACATAGGCTGTAACTTTAACTTTTTTATTAGGAAGATGCTGCAGTCCATCTCTTAGTTCAGTTTCCCTTTGTCGCTTCGTACGACACCCACGAGACGATATGTTACTTTTTTAGTAA